GCGAGATTCAGTCCGTGTATGACAATCAAGTTCGAAACTTGGTTGACAATGTACCGGGTCATAAGACGGTCGGGTGAAAATGGATCTTCAAGAAGAACACCGACATGGATGGAAAAGTACACATGTATAAGGCGCGACTGGTTGCTAAGGGCTTTACCCAAACTCCCGGAGTTGACTATGATGAGACCTTCTCACCAATAGCAAAGATTAAATCTTTAAGGGTTATGCTAGCAATAGCTGCATTTCATGACTATGAAATATGGCAGATGGATGTCAAAACCACTTTCCTTAATAGGAAGTTGGCTGAGGATGTTTGCATGAGTCAGCCAGAGGGTTTTGTCAATGCAAAGTACCCAAATAGAGTGTGTAAGCTTTAGAAATAAATTTATGGATTGAAACAAGCATCTCACAGATGGAATCTTTGTTTCGAAGAGAAAGTCAAAGAGTTTGGTTTCTCAAGAAGCAAGGATGAGTCCTGTATATATGTCAAAACCAGTGTGAGTATAATTAGCTTTCTCGTTTTGTATGTCGATGACATACTGCTCATACAAAATGACGTCGTAACCTTGCAAGAGGTTAAGTCATGACTTGGGAAGTGCTTCGCTATAAACGACCTCGGAGAAGCTGCTTATATTCTTGGGATAAGGATATTGAGAAATAGGAGTAAGAGACTAATAGGACTTAGTCAAAGTACCTACTTGGATAAAGTGTTGAAACGTTTTAGCATGGAAAATTCCAAGAAAGTGGAGTTACTAATCCTAAGCAATACCAAGTTGAGTAAGACTCATAGCCCGAGTATCGAAGCCGAGAGAGTATAAATGAGTAGAGTACCTTATGCTTCCGCAGTTGGCTCAATCATGTGTGCTATGACATGTACTCGCCCTGATATGGCCTTTGTTTTGAGCATGGTCAACAGATATCAAGGGAATCCTGGTAGAGCACATTGCACCGCAGTAAAGAATATTCTTAAGTACCTACGAAGGACTAAGGAATGGTTGCTTATCCTCGGTAGGAGTGATGACTTAAGAGTGCGAGGGTATAGTGACGCCAGCTTCCAGACTGACCGGGATAATTTCCGCTCGCAGTCAGGTTGGGTCTTTACCTTGAATGGAGGAGCACTGACTTGGAAAAGTTCCAAATAGGAGACCGTAGCTGATTCAACGTGTGAATCAGAGTACATAGCAGCGAGCGAAATGTCAAAGGAGGCAATATGGCTAAAGAACTTCATCGGAGACCTTGGAGTTGTACTGGCCATAAAGTAGCCTATGTAGATTTTCTGTGATAACGAAGGTGCGGTTGCCTTGATCAAGGAACCGAGGGATCATGGCAGATCCAGGCATATCGACAAAATATATCATTTCATCAGACATCGGGTAGAAGAAGAACTCCTTGTAGTAAAGAGGGTATCGTCAGAAGAGAACCCAATAGATACCCTTATAAAGGGACTGAGTAAGGTTAAGCACTTGTAGTACACTAGGAGCATTGGGCTGAAGGACGAGATTAGTTTTAGTGATTAGATATCTTTTAGAAACTTGTAATAGATAAATTGTAATTAACATTTGATGATTAAATAAAGGAGTATTATTTATGAGTAAAGTTACTGTCTTATGTTAATTATTTACTATTGTTTCGCTTTGCATGTTTTGACTTCCTAAATAATAAGATTATTCAAACTATCCACAGTCGCTCATACATTGGAAGTAGGTATGAAAGAAGACTGTCATGAATTGGTTGTAGATTGTCTAAGTGTTTAGACATAGCAAAAGTTTGTTGCAACGTTCATGAGATCTCTTGAAATAAGATTTGAGTATTGGATTAAACCCACACTCACATGAATCGCTTCATGGAATTTAATCACGAGTGATTGTGAGACGATAATATCATATAGTCTTTAAACCTAGATATATGGGTTATTGTTTACGAGTTGGTTGTGCATTGATAATGCGTGAACGTAGCAGTAACTTGATGTTGTAAAACACATTGTTGTGTACGATTTGATGAGTAAATAGTACAAGAATATAAGTCGAAGTTTATCTATTCCTTTTATCCCACAAGGATGACAGCGATATCTTGGGACCCTCGATGATTTGGTTTGACTTATGTGTCGGGCCCGGTTAGGACTGATTGATGTGTTCAATTAAGTTCTATGTTGGAAAAATCAGAGATCGAAAAACAAACTGCTGGACAATAAGTATGACTATGTTCCATGTATTTGTCAACACGATATCTTGAGAATGGAGGACTATGCAGTCCATTATCTAAACGACGTGTCATTGACTAGGTCAGAGTTCGACATCGGATTTTGAGAGCTACGATTGCTAATCGGATCTTGAAGTTACATTGGCAGTTATAGTTATTAGACTTATCCAAGTGGGTGACTGTTGGATTAGGTGTCTAAGCTCATAATTATAAATGGGATGTACTTGACCCGATAGTAGCATGATCCTTTTGGGTTGCCTTCACATTGGTGACTAGACAGGATGACTGTCGAGGAGAGAGGCTGTTTTATTATTAAGAATAATAATTTGGGGCATAAATATGATTTATTAATATATTATATGATTAATATATTAATTTGGAATCATATTATTAATTAGTATTTAATCAAAATAAACTTGGAATTAATTTTAGGATTAAAGGAACTGATTAAAAGTACAGGGGTTGTGTTGTAATTATTTGATAGTTGAGACTTTGGGTCATTGGATCACCCTTATTAGGGATAGGCCGAAAATCCTAGAAGGATCTAGGAGTTTTCATCTAAGGCCTGACGCAAGGAGATCCATGGACCTGCTTAGACCCTAAGCTAAGGGATTAACTTTCCACCCTGAAACCGTAGCTGGCCTCAAGTATAAATAGGACCCCTAAGCTTGAGATTTCATCACACCATTTGAGAAACCCTAGAAGAGATGATTTCTAGACCTAGTTACATTCTCTCCTCTCTCTCATATTCATCCTTTCACTCTTGTGTGTTTGTGAGCCATTAGAGGTACTACATTTGTGGTACTTGACCTCAAGAGAAAAGAAACTTCAATATTTAGTTGTTATTACTATATAGCAACAAAGGTATGTATTCTAATCCCTTTTGTTTGTGAATTTTGAAATATTAGATGCATGCTAGGGTTTCCTTTTATGTTCATTTGTTGTATGTCTAATAGTGAAAACATACATCCAAATTAGGGTTGCATGCACACATAGGATTGTTTGTATAATACCCAACAATAGTTGCCCAAAAATATAACTAATTATGGAAACATCACCTATACCTACACTAGCCTTACTTTCATCTTGTGTATTGACTCCCTTACTGTACACTCATGTATGGCTATAATCCTCACTAATACTGACATGTTTCTCACCATGATTAGTGAAGAATCGTAACCTCTTATGTTTAGGCATAATAAGGTTTACCTTTGTTTTGTTAGAAAAGTCTAAATAAACTTCATGAGGATTCGATATGTCTCTTTTAGATCAATTATAGACTCGTACAATTATTTCTTGTAGTCTTCTTGAGATATTGTTTAATGTCATCACCATTTTAAGAAAGAGATGTCTTTACTTGTCCCATATACTAGTGAGACACCTACTCCTTCAGGATGAGATTGGTCAGTTGTAGTGACTTTATGTGAGCTGACATTAGGTCAAATACCTCATTCAGTATGTTGAGAGATTGGGATAGGTGGTTTACGTTTTAGCTTTTATGATTATGAGTGATTGTATGTATCATCTGAATGACGTTGCCATCCCGTTTGAAGAGTTCATACCCAGAACGACTGAATTTTTAGCACAGGTTGTTGAAATTCATAACAGTGAAACGAGTTTCAATCTTCGAGAAGATGCCCCGAAGCATTTGTACCAACTTAACATGAACGACAATTAGTTTTTTTTCTGTTTATTTATTTTAATTCTAGGTTATTTAAGTAATGTAGTTTTTAATATTAATGTAATGTTTCTTTATTAGTGAATGAAAATCCACTTAAAAGAAATTCTATGTTAAAAAAAATAATTAAAGTTGTATTTTTATTGTATTTTTGAATTAAAAAATAATAATGTGGAGTGGAATGGTAGCGGTGGATATCTCATAGGTTTAGTGGTAGTTAGTTGCGATTATGTGACACCCACCACTATAATGATTAATAGTAGATATAATATAATGGTTAGTAGTATATATAACGGAAGACCTTACTTAAATAATTAGAGTGTAAATCATGCACTCACCTTTCAAATTCAATGCCTTTGGATTCTTGGTGTTTGAAAGCCACCACATCTACGAATTATCATACATACTAATGTTTATCATCATGAAATTACATCATCCTTGCCGATTAGTTCTACTAGTTCATTTCATATTTTCTTAGTATTTGAAGATCCAAAATTGTCTATGGTTCTTTCCATATGCTAACATAGATTGTGACCTATTTATAGTATTATGCATTAAGAAACGTCTAAATAGCTTAGATAATTCATTCGCTAATCTATGTCACTCTAGTTTGACTATCCATGCGAAATCAATGCGATTAATGTTTAATTCCAAAATTGTCTATTGTTCTTTCCATATGCTAACATAGATTGTGACCTGTTTATAGTATTATGCATTAAGAAACATCTAAATAGCTTAGATAATCTATGTCACTCTAGTTTGACTATCCATGCGAAATCAATGCGATTAATGTAGTTTTGTATTTTAAAATATCATCGTCATAACAAAAACCACGTATCTACTTTAATACAGTAAATAAAAATCTTTTACTATATGTTACATTCTCATTCATTTTATCATATGTCATTGTGTAGTTATTTTAAATTTATTTTTATTCAACATGTTATTTTATGGTTTTTAATTTTATTAAATTTCATATAGTATTTAAATATAATAATAAATGCATATAGGTTTCATTAATGATATTTTCTTCTAATTTCAAAATTAATATTAAAACTGATATTAAATTCAATATTTAACAGTTAAAACAAAACGTGTGAAAAACCCCAATCCAACTCTCACGATGGAAGATGGATGGACGGAAGTACGGCGGAGGAAAACGACGACAACCACAAGAAACACGGCGGAAGAGACCACTTTCTTCGTCACCAACATTCCAAATGGAGCAACAAAGTCTGAATTCAGGAAAATCTTCTCACGATGGGGTAGATTATCGGACATCTACTTCGGCGGGCACAAAGGAAAGAATGGGAAAAACTATGGCTTCATAAGATTTCTTGGAGTTCCTGATGCAAAAGATTTGGAGTCCAAGTTAAACGGAGTGGCTTGCAGAAACAACAAGTTTGAGATCAACATCGCTAGACACAGCCGGAAAACATATCCGCCACCCACTGGGAAAACCAGCGAGAGAATAAGAACTGTAGCTCCATCCATGATTAAGAATAAATCCATCGGTGGAGGGCATACTGATTATCGAACTTACGCCCAGTTACAGGTAACCAAAACTCATGGAAAGCTAATCAGATTCACTCAGATCATCATCAATCACCCTCACCTGTCAGACTAAGAGTGGACGAAGGCATGGATCGCTGGTTAAAAAACCTCACACTCATCGGGGAAGCAAAATCTTTAGACCATCTTGGACACATGCCAACACTCATCTCCATTCATTGTGAACATCGCCCCTCAGTCAAATATATTGGAGGTATGCTTGCACTGTTAAGCTTTGAATCCACTGTCGAAGCAAGAGAATTCCTAGAAAATGAAAGGAATTGGACTGGAACCTTCAAATGGTTGAAGATGGGATCACCTGAGGTTAATAATAAATTTGAACGAGTAACATGGATAAGGCTAGTTGGTTTGCCTCTTAGACTATGGAGCAACACTAACTTCTCATCCATTGTGGGCAAGTTTGGGAAGATTGTCGTGCCTCTAGATCACATCACTAATCGTGTTGATCTCTCTGTGGCAAAGATAGCCATAACCACAGAAAAACTAACCAAATTCAACGAAGAAATACTAGTGGAAGCGGATGGACAGTATTATCAAGTGGGTATCATAGAATACGAAGATGAACCATGGTTTCCATTTAAATTCGATGAAGAAGAACAACCATACGCAGACTCGGACAGGGAAGGAAAAGATGAATCGATGATTAGTGAATCTGAAAACTCAGATTCCAATGATGATGAAGAAGGTGTATCGGGAACATGGATTAACGATATAGAAGAAGGAGAAATCGCCCAAGAAGACACCATCAATCCTCCAAGTAGTGGTGGTGTTGGCCTACCGCCACCAACCACGGTGGCCGGATAGGTCGGAGTGGTGAAGCTAACTGAGACGCCGACAAATTCATGCGAATCAGACACGTTGGGACAAGAGGTCGAGAATATGGGAGTCGAAACGTCAATCAAATTCCAAGAAAAATCAAACATTAATGGTCACATCATCCGGTTTACCGCCCTCCCCAACCAGATGGACCCACAAAATTTAGGCTCGTCTCGGACTGCTACCTTCCCGGCTGTGTTAGCCCAATCTGGGTGCTTTGGCCCATTCCCTTCGTTTGTATCCACTCTACAAGCAATGAGTCAACTAAACTCAGAAAATGGTCAAAATAGAGATCAAATTTGGTCTTCTTTAAAAAGGCGTCGCCTACATAGATCACCTTCTGGTGAAATCTTACCGTCATTCCCAACTTTTCCCCTAATCTTTGACAACGAAGATAATCAGGCTCCAAACACATCTTCCTTCCCCATCGATGCACAACCCAATGACCCTGCTAACCTAGATGTTGAAACACCCAAAATTGAAGCAACAACAGCTGTGGCCTCCCTAATTGGGTTCGAGATCGACCCCAATAACAACATCCTAGCTGAAGTACTTGGCATATCAGGTGTAAACAATGCTCCCCAATGAATTTCCTTTCCCTAAATATCAATGGTATCGGCGGTGAACATAAGGTGGCCTGATTAGAAGATTGAAAAGGAAACACAAAGTATCATTTATGGTGATTCAAGAAACACAACAACCAGATGCCGAACAAATAGATGCAGGAGCTTGTTGGGGGCGATACTGAATTTGGAGTCAACCATACAAACTCTATTGGCAGGTCGGGTGGATTATTAAATATGTGGGATTCCAAGTCCTTCACATCCACGGAAGTTATCTCCTCGCATAATTACCTCATCAATATAGGAACATGGGTGGGCATCTCTACACCTGTCATATTCGCCAACATTTATGGACCTCAGCCGATTCGTGAGAAAGCAAAGTTATGGGAAAAGCTGAAAGAAATAAAACAAGAAAGGAACGAAGTGTGGATCATCATGGGAGATTTTAATGCTGTAAGAAGGCCTGATGAAAGATTCAATTCAATCTTTTGCCCTCGTACAACCAAGGATTTCAACAACTTTATCCTTGATTCGGGTCTCATCGACTTGAAAATGGGCGGTTTCAGATACACATGCTGTCGCAGCGAAGGAATCAAACTAAGGAAATTAGACCGATTCCTGATTAGCCTGGATTTTCTCGGCATAGCTCCAAAAACCTTCGTAACTGCTCTTCCTGGAGAGTTATCCGACCATAGCCCCATACTACTCTCAACTAATTCCCCGGACTTTGGTCCCCCACCATTAAAACTCTTCAATTCCTGGCTTTTCAGAGATGGCTTTGAGAAGACGTTCATAACTAGTTGGAACAATTTCACAGGATACAGAACACCTGATCAATACTTGGCTGCTAAACTAAGGCATGTCAAAGATGCACTAAAAAAATGGAGGGCAACGGAACATCCCAAAGAAGAGGTAGCACTGATTAAGTTCAGAAAAGAGGTAGAATGGTTAGATCACGAAGCCGAATCACGAACCCTCAATCCAGAAGAAGTGCAGAAAAGACGGGATTGTTTTAAGAAAATCTCAGAACTGGAAAAACTCAAAGCGAGTGATATGAAGCAAAAATCTCGGATCAAATGGGCTGTCGATGGGGATGAAAATACCCTCTATTTTCATGGCCTGGTAAACAATAACAACCGAAAAAATGGAATAGACGGGCTAATGATTAATGACACCTGGTGTACCGATCCTGAGAAAATCAAACTTGAAGCCTTTAAATTTTATGCAAACAAATTCAAAGAAAAATGGCCCTCAAGACCTAAACTTAATAACAACCACTTGAATAGGATCACCCCTGTTGACTGTCAAATGCTCGAAGAACCCATCTCATTGGGGAAAATCAAAGCGGCAGTGTGGGCGTGTGGAAACGAGAAAGCACCGGGACCCGACGGATATACATTCAAATTCATAAAGAAATACTGGGAAGTGCTGTTGTGAGATATTGCTGTAGTGGTTAAATTCTTCGAATATCATGGGAAACTCGATAAGTCATGCAATTCATCGTTCATCTCACTTATCCCTAAGATCAAAGACCCCATCTCGCTTCGGGATTTCAGACCCATCAGTCTGATTGGTTCTCTGTACAAAATCATCGCCAAGATCTTAGCGAACAGAATAAAGAAAGTGATGGGGAGTTGTATAGATGATGTGCAGTCAGCGTATGTAGAAAAAAGAAATATCGTTGATGGGCCGTTAATAGTTAATGAGATCTGTTCCTGGGCAAAGAAGGCGAAAAGGAAAGTTCTGCTCTTCAAAGTGGACTTCGACAAAGCATTCGATTCCATTAACTGGGGATTCCTTGACTCCAATCTAAAAATTATGGGGTTCGGTGACAAATGGAGGGCATGGATTAAGGGGTGTCTTGAATCATCTAAAGCATCAATCTTAGTTAATGGAAATCCGACCAAGGAATTTTGAATATCAAAAGGGGTTCGGCAGGGTGATCCACTTTCACCGTTTCTCTTCATCATAGTAATGGAGGGTCTAAGCGCTGCTATGAAAGCTGCATGTGAGATTGGTGTCTTCAAAGGCTTAGTTCTACCACACGGGGGACCAACCATCTCCCACCTACTATATGCTGATGACGCATTGTTCGTAGGAGAATGGTCGAAAAGAAATATAAAAAACCTTGCAAGGATTCTGAATTGTTTCCATGTTTCTTCAGGCCTCAAAGTTAACTTTGATAAGTCCAAGGTTTTTGGTATAGGCGCTGACTCGCAAGAAGTCTCCAGTTGGGCAGCAACCCTCGGTTGTAAACCATCATCTCTCCCTTTCACATATCTTGGGGTCCCAATCGGAGCGAACATGAATCTTTCCAAGAACTGGAAACCGGTGATCGAGAGATTTCATAAAAAACTTTCCATTTGGAAAACTAAAATGCTATCATTCGGTGGTAGACTAACATTAATTCAATCGGTATTGGGCAATCTACCAAGCTATTACCTCTCAATATTTGTTGCTCCAGAAGGGGTAGTAGAAAAGTTGGAAAAAATTCGCAGAACTTTTTTATGGGGAGGATCTGAAGGAAAAAAATGCATTCATTGGGTCTCTTGGGACAAAGTGATTGCTTCTAAAGAAGATGGTGGTCTCGGGGTCAGTAGCATTAAATCACTAAATATTTCTCTCATTATGAAGTGGTGGTGGAGATTGAGGCCTGAACCTGCAGCGCTCTGGGCCAATGCCATAATTAGCATGCATAATTTTAAAAACAAACATGACCTCTGTTATGCCAATAAATACATATCAGGCACATGGAAAAACATTACAAGCATTGGCAAGCATCTTCAAAAAAAGACATCCCCATTGATTCGGTGATATCCAAAGAATTTGCCCCCACGGGTACGACATGGAAGTGCCATCTCACGGGTGACGGAACTTACTCGGTGAATATTCTTCGGAAAAAATTGGATTTTAACCCTAATGTAAACATTGAACATTTCACATGGCTGAAGGAAGTTCCAATTAAAGTTAATTGCTTCATATGGAGGGCAAAATTCGGCAAAATACCTTCTGCTGTAGGTCTCTTGTCTAAAGAGGTAGCTTTGGAAAGTCCAATATGCAAACAATGTGAGGATGTCAATGAATGTTCAGACCATGCCTTGATTGGATGCAAATATGCGAAAATGGTTATGCAAGGGGTCTTTCAATGGTGTGGTGTTGCCATGGAAGAGTTCGGTACAGTAAACGACATGATCACACTTGTAAATTCACATTTCGGATGCTAAAAAAAAGGAGAATGTTCATGGGAATATGTTACGGTATGCTTTGGAGTATATGGAAAGCTAGAAATGAAAGAGTCTTCAAAAATAAACAGGTGTCCCCTTATAAGCAGGTAGACATTATCAAATCTATCACTCACCTGTGGATAAAAAATAGGGGTAAAAAAGGCAACATTGATTGGTTAGCATGGTGTAATTGCCCATTTTTCTGTTTGTAAACGGTTGCCTACATTTTGTATTCCCATCTTCCTCCTCTAGTCACTTGCTAGAGGTTGGTTTTTTAATATATATTTTTTATTTGCTGGTTCAAAAAAAAAAATTAAAATTTTATTAGTTTTTTTGTTTACTTATCTTAATTATTTGTTTAAATTAAAAAAAAATTAATTTTAATAATTCATTATTTTTCTCATTTTTCTTATAAATTTAAAATTTTCAAATGGTTAGAATATTATTTATTATTTCTTTTAAATAAACTCATGTAATATATAAGTTTCACACCTATTTTCTACTATATATTGTCTTTAAAGCACTAATTGGTTACATAACCACATAAATTTGAAAACCTAGCTTTATTCAAAAGTGTTAATCTAAAAAACACTTTATATTTTGTGTTTTTTCCCCGATTAAACCTCATTTTTTTTGTTTGAAAAAAACCTTATATTTATTTATTTTTCCCGAAAAAACCATCAACTTTGATGTTTTTTGAAAAAAACATTTAACCTTCTAAATGTTTCCAAATTAACCTTCAAATTTTTTAGTTTTCTCGAAAAAAACCTTCACATTTTATAATTTTTTTTGACAAAAAATAGCTAAAATGTCAAATCAGGAAAAATGAAAAAAATACAAAGTATTTTTCCAGACAAATTTTTTTTGAGGTTTAATCCGAAAAAAAAAAAAAAAGTTTATTTTTTTATTATTATTATTATTTTTTTTTGAAATTAATCCTATTCAAAATGAACGATTAAGTTATTAACGATTCAAGTATTAAGTATATAAAAGCGATTACCTTTGATTAATATTATGTTAGATCAAGCTTTCTCTCGCAACTTGACATGACCTAAGCACATAACAATAGCAATTCCCGGCTTCAAGTCGGTGTCAGCATTCGCGGTTTGCGTGAGTCATAAATAAATTCATTTTATTTGGGAGATTACGTAGATATGTCAGGCAGTCATCACTTAAAGGCTACATATAATGTCTGCCACAC